GATGTCAATGTTTTCCAAATCAACAAAACGCAGTTTAAAATCGTCGCTCAATTTTTGAAGATTACCTGTATATATTTCCAAGTCTTCTTTTATTTCTAATTGTCACATATCTGAAAAATACTGATAATCCTTCGACCAATCGACCCTTCCGGTGCGGATCGACCCCCATTCGACCCCCTGGCTCAGATCAACCCCCACTTATGTTAAATAGACCCCTGGGGGTCTATATAGACCACTTTGGCGACCTCTGCCCTACACTGATGTTTTTTTAAGGTTCAATGCCACTGCCCGGTACTCCGAACACTGATGTTTCTCCTAATTTATCCTCGGCAGATATTAAAATAACGAATATATTTAATAATATCAACGAAAAATATATATTAAATCGGAAATAATAAATAATTCAAACATTCACTAAAGCGACTATGTGATTGTTGACATTCACCGGTGTAAGTCGACATTCTCTTGATTTCGGCCCTTCAAGGTAACACATACTTTATATTTTTGAAATAAAAATGAATTAAGGCTTTCTTATTCGGTCTTCTGTAAACCTTGTACGCAGAATTTTCATTAAACATATTTCTTGATGCCTTCTCCTTATTTTGTATTAATTTAGGTCGAACAATTTAAAAATATTATAAATTTAGCATTTTAATAATTTATGGTTCTGAAATACAACATGGGGCACCGGTGATCTTTTCTGCGTTAAAGAAAAAATCTTCAAAAAACACCGCACACTTCCAAAGTTGAAAGTATTTAATATTTGTACATTTTTCAAATTTGCAGATATTTACTGATCTAAGAGAAACAGTAATTCATCACTTAAAGTTCTTTAATTTACGAAATCAGTTATTGATAAATATTTGAATATAAATGAAAAAAAATTTCAAATTGCTTTTTTCGATTTTATATTTTAGTATAAATATAATTCCGAAAATTCATTAAATTTTTTTCGAAACTATTAGATTGCTTTTATAATTTAAAAAATAGCAAAATACATTTTTACTTATAATTATAGAGCCAGAAAAAAAATAATACCTGAGTCCATCTGCGCTAAGGGATTAATAAAATTAATTTATAGCACGTATTCAATTTTATTATTTTTAAATTATTTTAATTTTATCAAAAATCTTTAAATTACATTTTTGATTGCCTTAAATTTAAATTTATTCTCAATTCTTAGTACCTCGTTTAGAATTTTATTTTTTTAATTTTGATGTTTTTTTTTTCAGTTTATTTAATTTAGTTTGAGGTGCATTTTTGAAATAAAAACGAGTTGAAGTTTTCCTTACTGTGTTCAACTTTGTCTGAGGAAAGATTCATTTTATTATTTTTTTATTGTTTCTAATTTGCTGCTAACATCTTTAGTTTTCAAAAAAATCCATGAACTACGTTTGCTTAGAATACGTTTTAGTTAAAGAAAATTTTCTTCGGAAAAACTCAGACTGCCTTAAAATATAAACCTTTCTCTACTCCTAAGGTACCACTTTCGAAATTTTAAAAATATATTTCTGCTCTTTTTTTTCTTTTTTCTCTTTAATTTAGTGAAATTAGTTTCAAATTTTTATAAAATTTCTTAAGCTAGGCTATGTTTTTCTTTTCAAATAATTCCTAGATCGAAAGTAAAGCGACGCATATTAAACAGCGCACAAGAACAGCAGGTTGTGCTACCTCTAAACTAGATAATAATAATTCTTTCTAATTTGAATAAAGGTATAAGTTATATATAAATTTTCTAAATCTATCTTTTTTTGAAATGTAGGGAGATATTTATTTTTTTAAAATAATTATCTTCCTAAATTTCCTTAACAGAAAAAATGAAAAATTATGACTGAAATAAAAGCGTAAGTGACTAACATATCAACATGGCCAATAACACCTTGTTGAGTGGTATTTCAGAAACCCGAGGACAATGCTCATAATTAAAAAAAAATTTTTTTTTTTTTAGTTTGCAGAGTTGGCAATTTGTCTGAACTAGTTTTAAGAACATGGTAACTAATTCAGTGATTGTGCCTTGGCGAACTTTATTATTATTATTATTATTTTTTTTTGTAGAATTATTATTATGAATGTTCGCGAGTAAGAAGTTCATTTTCCAGCTTTGGAATATTCAACCAAATTTATAAAAACAGTTATCTATAAATTAATGTTACAAAACAGAAGGAAAAAAAACCGAAAATATGTAATTAATTTCGTACGAGGGTTATTTTGTTTTTCAACTTAGAACGTTCGTATTTTTCACGTATTTGAATTAAACAGTCATTTGGCATTGCAGCGGGAAATTATGACTATATTTCTTTTTTCGATGATAATGAGGGCGTATTGATTTAAGATCTTTTGGTTAGGATAGGCTTAACTAATTTTAAAACTAGAGTCTTGTTATGGCAGGGTCCAATCGGAATTGGGTTTAGGGTACAACGTCTGACAGGCACAAAATGTCTCTGTTATTAATATTTATTTTTAACAGTATTTTATAATCCTTTCCTACTGATTTATTAATATTTGATAAGCATACTTCTACGTTTTGTTAAATGTTATTAGTTTGGTTTATTAATTACTTTAATAAACGAAAATTTTTGAGTTTCTATGTTATGCTATATTTAAATAAATAATTAAATTGCGACATTCTGACCTATTTTCAAAACATTGCTATTAGTATTCTATACAGTGTTCACGGTAGAAAATTTATTGTAAAAAAAGATAGTTTTAAAAAAAAATTTTCAGGTTTTGCTGACTTTTTGGATTTTTTTTTTTAAGTGTGACTATATTAATTGAGATTTTTTGACATTGAAAATTTTAAAAGAAGTACATTTCTAAAGGAGGCATTAAATTGAAGTTAATTATTCCATATAATACCATTAAATCCCTAGGCCCGAATTTACCATGGTCGGACCATGGCTCTGTCTGCAACCATCCAAAACTGCAGCTGACTAGAACTATTGAACTGGACGATTGAACTTAAAAGCTGGACGATTGAAATATATAACTAATTTCCAAAGAAATAGAGTAAAACAAAAATTTTAAGAAAAAACCTAAGATAATATTTAAATTTTATAAAGTCAAATTGGTTAAGTATATGTTTTATGAAGTAAGAATACATGTCAAAATTAAAATAGTTTTTAAAGCACATAAAAATAAATAAATATGTATACGTGATTTTATTTATTTTGCAATCAATAAATTTACTCAGAAAAAAAGATTGTTTACGAGAATCAACGTGCTCTTAGTGAAAATTATACAAAAATATATATAACTTACCCAAAAATGTGCTAGCATATTAACGTTGATTGTTCTCAAGATTTCTTCATCTTTTAACTCCAAAAACGGCTTTCCAGTAACAATTCCTGCGTTATTGATTAATATATCTACTTTACCGACTTGTTCTTTAACTAATCTTGCTACTTCATAAACATTATCCCGATTCGCTACATCACACTGATACAAAGCTATTTTTTTATGATTTCCTAACAATTTCTCCGTTTCGTACAGTGATTTCAGATTGATGTCCATAAGTACAAGACATTGACAATGCTTAGAGAACAATTTTGCAATTTCTCTACCTATGCCACTTCCGGCACCAGTAATTAGAACTGTTTGATCCGATATGTCTTTTTGACGATACCTCTTCGGCAATAGCTTTACAATCGTATTCCTTATGCTGTAATAAAATATCATGGGCAGCATGGAAATTGACACAAGTAACAGTTTTAGTTCAGGTTTAATTTTCGAAGCCATTTTGAAAGTAAAGTTATTGAATATCACAGATATGTTTTAAAATTCTGAGTCACTTAAGCAATAATATCGTCTGCAACAGTTTAAAAGCCGTATATACACAGATTTGTTCTAAGCAAAAGCGCAGACGATTTTATTGGAGCAGCTTGATATGATAGTATTTTTTTAAATATTATTTTTATGAATGGAAAAATACGAATAAAAGTCAATTATATAAACCAGAGGAATCTTGTGAAATCAGAGGCACATTAAAAGATACATATATCACAAGCGTTCGATGACAGTTTTATAAGTTGAAAAATTCCAAGTTTTTAATCAGGATTTTATCCAATCCCACAGTCTCCGAAATGGTCTAGAAGCCGCTGAGAAACAATTCAGTATGCCTAAGAGGCAACCGATAAATTGCATTTTGCTTGTAGAAAAAAACCATAAGCAACCATCGAAGATATCCATTTGGAACTTAGAATTAATCGATGACACAAGACAAGTATAAAGTTATGTGAATAATTATTGGTAATAATTGAGCCTATTTGGCTCCCACGATGAATAATTTTCAATAATTATGCTATCGGAGAGATAATCTGATCGTTAAAAAATTATGATATTGTTTAAAACGAGAATCCTCCTAAATTATTCGAAAGAAATAAAATGATTAAAATTGTCCTTCGAAATCTTCCTTAATATTAAATAAAGGAAGAAAAACAATTTTCATATGATACTATATTAAATTCCGATAACAGTAATAAAAATCGAATTTATCCTGCCTGATGATTATCTCCCGAAATTTTTTAATATTATTGCTGGAAAAAGAAGATAATCCTCGCTGATCAAAATTCACCCAAAGAATAATGGTTGAGTGAAGGTGGGAAAATAAAGTACACGTTTTGCCTTCAGATGAGAGGTCACGTGGCTGAGAAAGTAGCAACGAGAAAATAAACTCGTAATGCAGCTTCTTTTTTAGAAGTCATCCCTTGAAGGAAAAAGTCAAATGGCTGAAAAATGGAATAGAAATAAATAAATATTTCATTTGAATAGAATGAAGCGGATCTATTATAGGCATTATATATTGTTTGTAAAATAATCATTTATGCAAAAACTATGAATTCGGGCATATAAGCTGACAACTCATTATTACGGCCAATGTTGCTATAATTTAATGTTATTTTTATAATTAAAATACTGTGACTTTCAAACTTGGACTAAAATTAGAATCCGAAGGAAATATTGCAGGGTTGGTGTCGGGAAAATTTGTTCAATTAGTTAAAATAAATTAGGTTCTGTAGATGAAAAGTGGCAAGAATTTTTTGTTGTTGTTGTTCTAATGAAAATTAAGATTTATTCAGAAATATTATTTATGCTTTCATGAAATTCAATGAAAATATAATTGATTCTCAGGAAAGTCTGCAGTCGTAGCAAGACATTGTACTTGTTTCTTTAGAATTTTTAAAATAATTTATAGAGAATTCTCAGTATTTTCAACTCAACATTTCAAACAGGCACTGAATTTCCTTTTGCCAGAGGAAAATAAAATGAACGATTATTCTCTCTAAGAAAGTATTAATAAAACTGCTGTCGACACCGCTGTTTCAAGAACGGACTTCTGAATATCGTAACCCAAAAATATTTGATATAACAATATGAAATTTCGTTCATTTTAAGAGAATTGTTCAAAGAACATTCTAATATCAAAACGTTATTGATGCGTTAATTTTCAATAATTTATAAATTTTTTTTTAAAGTTCGGATTATTATAATTAGGGGCTTAATGTCCATTTTTGGCAACTAATATCCAGCGTTCTACCATCCGGGTATCTTTGTTATTAATAAGATTTCTTCCTCTCCTTACCCAATTAATTGTTTGCTATCCTTTCCTCATTTTGATATTTTCATTTCCATGGAAAGTATTTTTCAATTTAAACCTTTGTGATTTGAATTTTTAACATACATCTATATATATAAAAATCTCTTGTCGCAGTTTTAGTAGTTAAACTCCTCCTAAACGGCTCGACCGATTTTGATGAAATTTTATATGTATATTCAGTAGGTATGAGAATAGGTTTATAACTATTTTTTTTTCATTTCTTGGACTAATTTCTTTTGTTATTTTTTTATGGTGTGGTATTAAAAATACATTCAGTCCTTAATTTTCACCCTCCTACCACCAACCCCTACTTTTTAATAGCATTTTATATTTTTTAACCCGGTCATAGTTAATCAATTAACACTTGATTAGCTATCCCCGCCAGGGGAAAGTTGGATCTCCGATTATTTTGCTTCGTAATTTGAACCCACCACGGCTGTGCAACGGCACACGATTAGTCGCTAAAAAATTAACGAACAACGTTATCGAAGTCATTATTTTAAATGGGTGAAAGTATATTACTTCCACGAATCCCTATTATACCAACGTGCGAATTCAATTTAAACACATTCAGTTCCCCATTAGATTGGCATTTGCAATGACTATTAATAAATTTCAAGGCCAAGCAATGTCTGTTTGTGGCTTTGATTTGAGCACACCATGTTTTTCACACGGACAATTATACGTCGCATATGCTCTCGAGTGGGCAAACCATCCAGTTTATTTGTGTTAGCTAAAGATAAAATGACAAAAAATATTATACACTCCATTGCACTAAGAGATTAATATTGTTGTCTAATATTTTCAGAATTCGTTGTATATATAATTTATAAAAAAAAGTTACAATAAATTTTAAAAAATTGTTATTTGGTGTGTTGTTATTTTCCCATTCCGTCATCGTTCACAGCGCTCCATGCCTCTTCCACTCATATACCCCATACGCACACAGTTACAATAAATAAGATATATTTCCATACGCTAGAAATAAATCATACTAGTGGGCTGAGCCCCCTGCTCGCTAACGCTCGCCAACCACCGAAAATTGCTACGCAATCTCATATGGTTTGCTTCGCAAACCAAGCTCGCTTCGCTCGTTACTAACTTAAGTACATTGCAAATGCACAAAATTCTAAGAATTCATCATTCAAATCCATATAACAACTCTTTTTTTTAAAAAAAAAAATTGCATCTTTTCAGTAAATAATTAGTCATTAAAATAAATTTGAATTCAAATAAATGACATGTAATTAGTTAAACCTATTAGAAATGTGCTATAGTATAAAATCTTAAAGCGTAACAGCACGACTGAGACTCGTTTTTCAATGACTAACTAATAACAATAATAAAATAAATAAATTCGTGATATAAATCAAAAATCGTCAAATGAATTCGAAATATATAAAATTCGTGAAAAAATGAGTTTTTGACAAAATACTAAAATAGAGATCTATCGACAAAGACTACTCACTTCTGCCTAGCTTAATAGTATGAGATTGCCGCAGCTGATGCTCTCTCAGGTTATTTCAGTTTCCATTTTTAAAAGCGCTATATGTTGAGCCACTTCAGCTAGATTTGGCATGTGACATTTTTAGCGGCAATCATTGGTCGATTTTCTAGCGTTGCCATTCGGGGAGTTGTAAT